GCCAATCTATAATACCGAAGCATATTTTGCAACAATAATCCTTAACCCAATACCTATTACAACCTCACAATTAACGTACGAAAATACTCTCGGATGTTCAACTAGAATACTAGGAGTATAATCATAGGGTGAAAATTGTAGATCAGGATCATCATCGGACTAAACAGGATGGGCATTCGATCGACCCGTCTGGTAGTCATGATGAGACATCTCGTAATTCTGCTTGAGCTCCTCGTAGTGCTTCAAGTGAAGGCCTTTGAGAACTTCGTCAGACGATCCAGAAGACCAGAAGTCCAGAACCGTGGTCAGCTTCGACTGCAACCCTTTCACTGCCTGTACGCTTCCACTCACCTCCTGCTCATTGTTCTCCCCGCATCCCGTGATACCGTTTCCGTCTTTCCGATTATTTTGCTCTGAATGTAAAATTCAGGTTTTCTAATCTATTCACTAAATATTTAAATTTATAAATCTCTACTACTTAAAAAATAAGAGGTGCTTCCATCGTCCGTCAAAAAAACCGTGTAAAAAAAACCGGGCAGAAAAAACCAGGTTTGTCCGATAAAAAAACCGGAACGGAAAAAGAAGTCCGATCCAGAAAAAAAAAAGGGGCGAAAAAAACCAAAAGGCAAAACGGACGGAGTCCGATCCAGGAAAAAAAAGGCAAAAAAAAACCAAAAAAAAACCGGACAGAGTCCGATCCAAAAAAAAGCCGAAAAAAACCGAAAAAACAAGGGACGGAAAAAGCCATGTTTGTCTGATAAAAAAACAAAAAAAATAAGTCTGACTCCTATATCCTTAACAGTAAAAAAAAAAGTTTGACTCCTATATCAACCAAAAAAAAAAGTCTAACTCAGATTGGTGAAAAAAATTGATGTGTCGGATTGAAGATCTGTTTGCAAAAACGGAATCTACATGTCGAGAGCATTCCATTTTTATATGATTTTAATTTTTGGATTTGTAATTTTATATTTGAGTCCCTGTAATTTTTATATTTGCATTTGAGTCCCTATAATTTTGCAACAAGCTACTTGAGGTTGTTTTTGTTAAAAAAAATAAAAGAGAAAGAGAACAAAGGCAGAAAGGTGCATAAAAAGAAAAAGAAAAGCCAAAAAAAAGTCTGACTCAGATTGGTGAAAAAAATTGATGTGCCGGATTGAAGATCGGTTTGCAAAAACGGAATCTACATGTCTGAGAGCATTTCATTTTTATATGATTTTAATTTTTAGATTTGTACTTTTATATTTGAGTCCCTGTATTTTTTATATCTGTCATATATTCTCCTGTATTAGAAAAAAAAGCAAAAAAGAACCTTCGAAAAAAACAAGGAAAAAAACGTGCGAGAAAACAAGAAAAAACACACGAGAAAAGAAAAGCAAAAAAAGGAGAAAAATATGGTTTTCTTCGTAAGTGAAAAAAGCGAAAAAAAAACATGGTAGGAGAAAACTGTTAGAAAGAAATGCGCCTTTTCAGAAAATGGTTTGAGAAAATCGCGCAAGAAAAAAAACACTGTTTATAAAAAAACAAGCCGCTCATTAAAATAGAAACATTGTCATTGACATGATTATGCATGAAAAACGTATATTATTATTAGAATTTTTTTACCCGTTGCAACGCACGGGCATTTTTGCTAGTATAGAAAAAATTATGACCATACCGATACCATTTTCATAAAACAATGAAGAAAATAATACTGTTTTTGATCATTTCTAACCGTTTTCGTCCCTAGCTTAGTGACCAAGATTTGGCTATATATGCTCATTTCATGATTTTATCATTATCACTGCACCCAATCCATATTATTTCCATTACTATAGGAAATATGATTATGGGAAAAAGAAGAAACTGAAAAAATGGGTAAAGCAGATCAACCGAACCTACAGGGATCTGCTAATTAATTGGCGCACGCGCCCTCCACTGTGCCACGTGTCTTTTATTTTTCACGATTTTATTTCAGCGCGATTTTTTTCCTTTTTTGGTGCGATTTTTTTTTCACTATTTTGACGTTCCTCCCCTCGGCGCATTTTCCATATTGATCGCATTCTTTTCGATTTTTTAAAATCTGAATTGAAAGTTTTCAAATCTCGAGCTGAAAGTTTTCAAACATGGACTTGAAAGTTTTCAATCTCAAATTGAAAGTTTTCAAATCTCGAGTTAAAAATTTTCAAATCTGAGTTGAAAGTTTTCAAAATTTGTCTTACAAATTTAAATTTTGAGTTGAAAATTTTCAAAATTTGACTTAAAAGTTTAAATCTGAAGTGAAAGTTCAAATTTTGAGTTGAAAATATAAAAAATTGTGTTTAGAGTTTCAAATTTTGAGTTAAAAGTTTTAAATTTTACGTGAAAGTTTCTTTCACATATAGATTTCTTTTCAATCTGTTAGTAAAAAAATCTTCCCAAAAAAAATAAAATATTTTCTTAATTATCGTCATTATTCTAAACTAACCGAGTTAGTTACGTTGATTCCTCCGGAATCGCGCGCTGGCGCACGCGTTAGCTTTTCCGGAACCTCGATAGATATAGATTAACCATCAACGACTCTTCATCTTATGTCCATACAATATAGGTTAATCATCAACGACTCCTATTACGTTTCTTGGTTATCAGCCGCGATTTTGAATTAATTCTAAGGTTGTTATCGTATTTTTTTAGCATTGGATTTTAAATAACACAGATATAATTTTTTTTGAATGGTTTATCAAGTATAGGCCAAAAGATCCGCGCCGCTGGATCCGTCGCCCCCATGCCTCCCCTCCGCCAGATCTGCAAGGGGAGGGAGGGGAGGGGCCGGGCGCCGCCATGGTCGCCCACTGACGCCGCTGTCGCTGCCCTTCTCCCCGTCTGCAGCCGAGGGAGAGGAAGGGAGGGGCTGCCGCCGCTGTCGCCGCCCTTCTCCCCGCCTGCAGCCGAGGGAGAGGGAGGGAGGGGCCGCCGCCACTGCTGTCGCTGCCGGCCGGCTGGGAGAGGAGAGGAGAGGAGTGGGAGAGAGGGAGAGAGTGAGGTGGCAGAGAATATCGAGCAGTGGTCGCCCAGTGGGCGCGGAGGGCGAAGGATATCGAGATCTGGCTAGTATTTTCACGTGCGCAGTTAACAGGCCCGCACGTGAAAATAGGTTTATTTTCGCGTGCAGGCCTGTTAAGTGACCCGCACACGAAAATTGATTTTCCTGTGCGGACGATAGACTAGCGCCGGTTTCCCCATTTTTCTGTGCAGTTCCACTTATGGATCGCATGGAAACAAAATTTTGGGGGAGGGGGGCGGGGCGGGGTCCAGAAATATCAATCATGTAGTAGTGAAAGAACATTATGTTTTCCCAAGAACATTATGGTTTCCTCTGGGAAAACATTAGGAGATATGCACTCCTTAGGAGGACACGATCAGTGTATAAAATTGTTTCAAGTGATTTACACATTCGGTTTATGCAGGGAAGAAAAAGTCAACAATCAGAATTGACTGATTCATCGGCTGATAATAGTTTTCAACTGCAAATAAAGGCTGGCACTAATTGAGTTTGTATTTGCTATTCAGCAGCACTTTATCATCTTGATCTTTTTTGCCCTAGAGAAGGCTGCCTCCACTTTTTTTCTTAGCTGCATAGCGTGATTTGCAGTAGTTATCTTCTGTTAGTTTTAGGGCATGTTCAATGGCAGATACGAGTATGATCTTTTAAACAATATAAGATTATTTAGAGACCGTGTCTTTATAATTGTTGAGACGACAAAGGCTCTAATCATTAACTCAAAAAATATTCCTTTTGTTAATATTCTTTCCATCTTTTTACCTTCATGCAACAATATTTCCATATTGTTGTGATTAAGAGTCATTGTTAAGCTGTTGTTATGCATGACAACGATATTTTGTCTCTCCTCTTTCTTTTTCTTCCATGTCAATAAGTATTCCTAATTAGCAACGCTAAAAGACCACTATTGACAACTATTGTACATGCCCTTATGTTGCAGCATAAAAAACAGATAAGTTTATTACATAGATTTGTTAACTATGGTAATTAGGATAGGGATCTCTTGTATGCAGGAAAAGCATGCCCTTGTTGGGTATATAAGGGGGAAGGGCTTATACTGCATATATAATGGGAAAAGTTTATAGAACAAGGCTGCTATTCACATTGGAAATTTGCCCTTTTTTACTTTGGGGTGTTCTTGAAAAATTGATTTGATTATCCTTGAGGGTCGTACAAGATGGATTCAATATTTGGTGCTTGAAGTTGATGCATTTGTTAGTGTTTTTTGAAAGATCTAGATAGCACTTGATCATTATTTCCCTTTTTGGAACCATTATCCTAGGTAAGACTAATTTCATAAAGTATGCTTCCTTGCTGTCAATATTCCAAAAAATGTTCCCCCCGACATGATGCTTGTAGTTTACGGAGATTTCGAAGGTGGTGCAGAATGCTTTTATAAGGAAAATGCATTTAGCATGATGCGCACTCTAAGGAAAAGGCTTGACATGGATAAAATTATGACAAATATTTTCAATATTTTAGGTAATTATTGTCGTGGGTAGGTTTCTGCATCGTCTGACATGAAAGACAGATCAAGGTGTTAACACAGTGAATTGATAGTGTTACCGCTAACATATAGCATTACCCAAATTCATGTAGATGTTAGAATCTAAACATATATGTACTACCAGACTTAGGACCAACCCTGTAGGAGTGAAACCGTCAGAAAAATTGATCTTACCGTCAGAAAATGTATTCCTGTAGGTGCGCCATCAGAAATCGCCGACAGAAAAAAGACCAAGGAGAAATTCAATTTTTCTGTCGGTTTCCCGACAGAAATGATTTTTCTGTCGGGTATTCCTGTCGGTTGGCTCACAGAAAATATCAACTGGCGTCAGGTTTGTGAAATGTTAATTGTGACGTGGACCCGTCAGGAAAAACCATCAATCACCGTCAGAAAAAATGTGTTCCACGCCCAAAAAAAAAAAGAAAAGAAAAGAATATAATACACATGCCAATTTGGATAAATATATGAACATCAATCTCAATTCAAACATCAAAATTCAAGCTTTCAAAGCTTACATGAATAGTCCATCCAAGTTCAGTACCAACAAATTCATTCAAATCAGAGTTAGTAATACATGTACAATGTGTTCAGTTACTCAAGGAAGTTCAATGTGTTCAGTTACAATTGTATTCATCAAATACATGTACAAGGAAATTGTCTTCCAGCAGCAATCCAAGTTCTGTGGTGCTTCAACCTTGGCCATGAAACCAAAAAGGTTTTAAAAAAGAGGTTCAGTTGGCATAATTTTCTTCATCATTACAAAATAAATAACAAGCGAGCAAGATAAATTTATCTGTACAAGCATGAAAAATGAAATACGACACTTGAAATGATAAGTGGACCTCACAATTATTCCAGTAGTACTCTGCCAATTCAGATAAGACATGAATGCTAGGATCAAACTCATTAGATATTGGATGAGAGGCATACCTTGATTTTTCATGTTGTACAACGTTCTACAGATATTTAACTGCGGCATTTAAGCTGCAAGCTAAGGTAAATTATAAATGGTTTGTACATAATAAAATTTTAAAAACAAAGAGACTGAAATTAATTTTGTTTAGATGGCATGTATATATCCAACACATGTATCAGTATGTCTTGCCAAAAGATATACATGGATTTAGACGTGTGAAGTATGTATATGCACTACCAGAGTACAAGAGACTGGAAAGCACTAATGTATTCATACATACAAACAGAGCTAAATAAATGTTTTGTTTGTTCCTGAAACAGAGAAAGCAAAACACTATAGTGTTCATCATTCACACAATCATTACCATGAATGACAAGGCAAAAATAGCATAAGAAAAGCATCTGCATCTGCATTCTAACTAGATTTATTTTTCTAGGGAAGATATTAACCAACATCTAAATTCTAACTAAATGTGACCAATAAAAGCATAGTCTATGATAAGGAGTAAATTCTATATCCAATTCTATAAAAAAAGAATAATATCCAGATATATTATCCTTTAAAATTATCATAAAGCTAGTATCATAATTTTCTAAGCCACTGATAGGTTAATTCCATGTCAAACAAATCACCGTTTCCTAGTTTTGCATGTAGATCTCAACATAAGCTGCTTCAAAACAGCAAAATAAAATGGGGGTATTCTGAGTGAGAAGCCAAAAATAAATTTACCTCACATTAATATTCCTTGGTCTTTCACCCATCCTTCATAGTGTCCTCCCTATGCACTATGCATTTCAGTAGTTAAATACTCTCCTAAAGAGATGGAAAGACATCAACTGGCAGGAAGCTCACGATTCGTAGAAAGAACTAGGTCTAATTTGTTCAGCTAGCATAGAAATTGGGGGATTTGTAGAGTATCCAAAAACACACCAAAAAAAACTTCTTATGCTAAGAGGTCTAACAAGGAAAATAGCAACAGATCTTAGTGATGCACCAACTCAGATCTGGACACAAGGAAAGGCAAGGGCGGCTTTTACTGACCACTAACCTGATTAAAAGAGATGAGGCAGTGACTACCGAGGATCGGGTGGAAGGGGAATAGCTGGCGCCTGCTCTCCCCATGGCAGGTCGACCTCGACGACGCGGGGTGGTGTGAGGGACGGCGGACCGCTTACCTCGAGGCCGGATCTGGAGCTGGTGAAGCTAGGGTCGTGGGATTTGGAGTACCCAAACTCGGGATGGTTGGATCCGCGACCTCCGAGTTCAGGGTGTCCGGATCTGGAGCACCTGAGTCCATGGTGGCTAGGACCGGTCACCGGAAGGGGGAGGGTCGGCGGAGGCTCGTCGTCGACCGGAGATGAGCAGCGACGGATGGCAGATTGACAGGGCCTGTGGATGGCGCAGGGCAGCAACGTGGTTCCCCGTTCATCGGAGGCGCCGACACTAGGACCGGCATCAGGGAGAATAGAGAGAGAGGAAGAGTAGTGGCGGCGAGCCACTGGGAATGAGGGGAAAAAATTTAGGCATTGTTTCGATAACGGGATTGGGAAATGATTTCTCACCCATCAAAAGGTATCTTTAAATCCTAACCATTCATTCTTCCTCTTCCATTTAATCATAACCCTTCATTCATTTTCCAATCCCAATCCTACTCTCCATTTCCCATTATCCAAACACACCCTTAGGGCTTCGGTTGGATGAGCAAGTTTTATACGATGGTTATATGGCCCACCAGTCAGCGCTGATTTTTCTGTGAGTCCTAGCCACAACCGACAGAAATATACCAATTTTTCTGTAGGTATAAGTAAACCTTCACAAAAACTCATTATTTCTGTAGGTCGTCTGCGGGACCGACAAAAAATATCTCAGCCCACAGGCTTGCCCTCAAGTCTGGTAATGGGGTGTCTAAAATCATTAACATATATATGAATGTGGACAATGCTAAAATGACTTATATTACGAAACGGAAGGAGTATTCATTTGTATAATTGTATCTGTTCGCAGTTGTGTTGTCGATACAAGTTCATAAGGTCTATGTATTTGACATGGTTTCGATTACTTGTTTCTTAATTGGATTGGTCATTACCTATCATGTGGTATTAACTTATATGCGACCTTTTAAACCTAAATGAAACTAAAGGTGATCATTTGATCAGCAACAGCTAGCACGTGTTTTTTGGTTGCTTTGATTAAGACATACTGTGTGCGCAAGTGTGGTATTAACTTGTATGCAATCTTTGTAACCTATAAATGAAACAAAAGATGAGCATTTGGTTGACAACAGGTAACATGTGTTTAATGCTTGTTTTGATTAAAGCATGTTTTGTGTGCAGCTGTGTGCGCGGCGTGTCGTCGCGTGTTCGCGTTCATTTCTATTTAACTTACTGTTGTTCTTTCTAACTAACAAACAATTATTCTTACTATCGTTAAAAAAAAGTGCGAGAATGCTCGATGTCAGGCGCCCGGCGCGTGGGGGGAGCGCGGCTCCCCCCGCGCCCCTCCCCCTATGTGCCTATACAGGGCTCACTTACTTCTCTCCCATTTTTTCACAAAAATGTTTCATCTAGTGTATTTACAATGTTTCACTATTTATAAATGTAATGTTGCAGTGAATTAAAATACTCTTTTACAATAAAAACCCACATATTTTAGAAACTCTCTATTAAGGAAATTTGGTTTATTTTTTCCACCAAAAATGTTTCACCCACTATACTCACAATGTTTTATTATGTATAGATCTAATGTTGCAGTGAACGAAACATTCCATTGCAACAAAAAACTCACATATTTTGGAAACCCCCTATTAAGAGAATTTGGTTTATTTTTTTGTTCCACCGAAAAATGTTTCACCCAATGTACTCACAATGTTTCACTATGTATAGATATAATATTGCAGTGAACTGAAACATTCTTTCGCTATTTACTGAAACATTGTTTTTATATAAGGTGAAACAACACCCGATTTAAACGAGTGAAACATTTTCGATCTTAGTGAAACAATTCTGATATACCTAGTGGAACATCGTGCAAACAATTTAAAAATAATACAATAATAAGCTACTGTAAAAAAAAATTTCGTCGGAATACATCCATGTGTGGTCTTGTTTTGAAGATTTAATTGCAACGAGTTTAATGGTGCAATCAGATCATGATTTGGACAAGTAATTTAAGAGAAAAATCAGTTTAAAATAGTTTTGTACGTAAATCGGACGCTGACGTCCCGATTTTTGAAGTTTTCGATCGGACGACCGATCCACAGTCACTCCCAAAAAAGTGTCCTATTTTCCTTTGGAATACCACCTGACTCATCTACTCGATTATATATTGCTGTATTGTAGCATTTCATTTAGTTACTTTTAAAACGTGCACATTAACGGGCGTGGCGTGAAGCCGCGCTTATACTGAACGCTGGAATAAATCTCTCGTTCCCATGCGGTACTGCTAAACCAAATCGCAACAAATCGGGTTCCTAGGTGAGAACGCGATCTACGGATGATTCGGTGGCAGCGGCGATGGCGAGACCAATCGGCGACTCGGCATCCACGGTGTAGTCCATCAGCAAGTCGGAGCTGACGGCGAGATCCTTCGACAACTCGGCGTCGACGGCAGCGATTCGATCGACGTCCACGGGCGCCGTCGCTCGATCGCGATTGATGTCCACGGCCACGTTGCGATCCATCGATCGGCGATCGATCAGGGTCCATGCGTGCGTGGCGCAGCCCATCGGCAAGCCTGAGGCGACGACACGATCCATCGGCTTGATGAAATCATACGGCAACGGCAGCAAGCGGCGCCGGCGACATCACAGCACTGCCTACAGCACCGGCAACGGCAAGTCCCCCTCCGATCGAAGATCACGGCAGACCATCCAACGAATAGCAGGATTTGTCTGGTAGAAACACGCGCTTTTCCATTCGTTGTGATTTCGTTTCAGATTATAGTCATTGGTATGTGTGCGTGTATTGATCTAATTTGCCATCATCTCTTCTTAATTTTACTCCATTATCGTCATAATTGTACTCTATTTAATCTGCTGTTGATTACTGTTACTACGAGATCAACTAATTTCATGTGGAAACAAGAAATTGTTTCAAAAATTCAGTGGGTTACTTCCCGTTTGTTACATTAATTATAGCTACAATAAAGTTGACCCGGTTCTTTACGTAATGAAATCATTTTGTTAGGAGGTGCATATGAGGTTACTAACTTAAAAAACAGTATGTACTTTCAAAAAGTATATATTGCTTCATGGGTAGTATATACTGAAAAAAATGGGTATATACTCCTCCGATGAGGATTGTAGTATATATATACTACTTATAAAAAGAAAATAGCACATACCACTTATGAACTCTAAATGGTATATACCGGCTCTATTTCAGGTCTAGGTATACAACCGGTCTATTTCAGTATGTGGCTTACATAAAAAAATCAATATATCATACCACGTATATGTGCTTTGCTTAAAATTTATTGTTTTGTGTCATGACAAGTACATACTGCTACTAAATAAAAAATATACTTCTACCGAATAAAAAAGGTATATAATGTTCCTCACCAATAAAGGTATATAAAAAAACGTATACCTTCAAAAAAAAAAAGGAAAGATGAACATCTTCAATGCAGTATATACTGCTACTAATTAAAAAAAAAGTATATACTGCTATTAAAGTATGTACTTCAACTAACTAAAAACCGGTATATACTGCTACTTAAAAAAAAGTATGTACTATTACTAACAAAAAAAACAGTATATACTGCTATTAAACTAAAAACAGTATGTACTGCTATCAAACTAAAAAACAGTATGTATTGCTATACTAACTTTAAAAAACAGTACGTGCATACTGCTTCTTACTTAACATGGGCGGAACTGGGCCTAGGGCAGCTTGGGCGCAAGCCCCACTCGTGAAAAAAATTTTAGTGGACTAGTACCTTGACTTTTTTCAGATTTCCCCAAATCCCCAAGGCCCAGCCCCACACATGGCCTGTTTCAGCCCCACATCCCTCAGCCCAATAGCAGCCCATCAGCCCAACCCAATAGATGCACAAACCCTAATCCCACCTCCTCTCTCTCTCGCATCACGCCGTATCCCGCATCACCGAGCGCCGCTTCGCATTCTTTCTCTTCTCTCACGTTCTCAGCTCTCCTCATCTCCTCCCTGTCTCTCACATCACCGATTGCCGATTGGAGAGTGGCGACTGCGCAGGGCGGCGAGCGGCCGGCCGGACATGCATATTTAATGTGGTACTTGATCAAATTATTGTTGAGTTAAACAATCGTTTTGCTGAAAGGTCTACTCAGCTATTGAGATGTATTGCTTGCCTTGATCCAAGGAATTCTTTTGCCAACTATGATGAAGATAAGCTCATTGAACTTGCTAAGATTTATGCAGATGACTTTTCTGAATATGATTGTTTAGTCCTTAGAGACCAACTTGACACATTTATCTCTAATGTGAGATCTGATTTGGATTTCTCAAGCTGCTCTGACCTTGGTAAACTTGCTGCTAAGATGGTCCAAACTGATAGACACACAGTTTTTCCATTGGTATATCGCTTAATTGAATTAGCCTTGATTTTGCCCGTTGCAACGGCAACAGTGGAAAGAGCCTTCTCAGCTATGAATGTTATTAAAACTGAGCTGCGGAACAAGATGAATGATGAATGGATGAATCACTGCATGATTTGCTATATTGAGCGGGATGTTTTTACTAGCATTGAAGATCATCAGATTATAGAACATTATCATGCTTTGAGGACGCGCAAGCACAAATTACCTAGAGGTATGTCATGCATTGCTTTGTAACCTACAAATAATTAAGTTCTCATAATTTGTATCACTTACATTATATAATATCATTTTTCAGATTTAGCTTCAGGTTCTCTACCTTCTGTTGATGAAGAGTGAAAATTATGAAGACATATCGCATTAGGTATTCTAATAAAATTTTAGTCTAGTCTTGTACTTTTTCTACACTTTTACAGTACTTCGGTGCATATTTAGAAATTGTATTCTAGTTTTGCATTTTTTTTAGTTCTTGTACTGTATGTACTTCCTTGTACGAATTGACATGGATAGTTGTTAGCCTTGTCGATGTCTGATGTCATGACTATGGTATTTGCCGGTATTTGCATAGTACGGGGATCATTGGCACCAGGGTATATGCGAGACTGAGGTAAAAGAGATAGGGACGAGGATTCTTATACAGGTTCGGGCCCTTAAATTGTCAGGTAATAACCCTACTCCTGTTGGCCGAAGCCGGTCGTTGCTCTTATTCATCATAATCACACCAGAACAATATTTGGGGTAGCCTATCTATCTGTTATCAATATGGCGGTCTGAAGTGCAGACACGTAATCGACAACAGGGTAGTCTTCCTCCTCGAATCCATGTCCGGCGAGATCAAAGATAGTGCTAGATCCCTCCTGACGGTAGTCGTAGGTACCGTATGGGGACTACTAAGCTTATCTCCGATGTTGATATTCGGCGGCTTGTCTTGGCGTATGTTGGCTTGTATGTTGATCTATTGTTGCGTGTCCCCTTTCCTCCTAGGGGGTCTTGTATTTATACCTATATAGGTGTCCCCTTATCCAAGTAGAACTAGGAAAACCAATATTGATACAATCCGAGTAGTCCTTGTCGTTTCCATGTAGAACTCTATTCATCCTTCCTTATGCGAAACTCCTCCTATATCCTAAGGTTGTATCCGTATAAGACATAGGATGTGTGGTGGAAAACTGTTCAAAGGGTGACATGTTATAATATGTATGGAAAACTGAAAATGAATTAAATTTACAGACCAATGTTTTGTGTACGAGCGTCTTCTCTTTTACCGACTTCGATCAGTCAGTTTGTTGAGTCATACACTCTCCCTAGCCCCCATCCTTGTTGTCGGAGAATCATTTTCGGAGGATAAGGCTCTTGGACCCTTGACCTGCCTTGGTTGAAAAAACACTTACCCTAGCCCCTAGCCGTGAAGTTGGAAAACCCAATTTCCGATTACACGGCTTGATTAATACGCATGGTGAGAACTCTTACATGACCAGATCTTACATGGTCGTTCGTGTCTGCATTACCTGACAAGGCCTTATCCGCTCTGGGCGTCCCCAGCCGAAGTTCCCTTAGGTTCCTCGGAGGCCTTGCCAGGGCGGCGTAAAGGGACAGTAGGATTGGTTTCAACTCTAGGTGTTGTCGTGATAAGGGATCTCTGGGTAAAACACTTGGCGATACTGTGTACCTGATATCAACTTTGCTAGAGTAGAGGTAGTGGGAGAATCGCTACACCACTGGTCGAGGATCAGGGGTAGTCATAACTCGACCACTTGAAGTGGATGTAGTAGGAGAATCGCTGCACCGCTGGTCGAGAACCAGGTGGTAGTCGTAACTCGACCACTTAAAGTAGAAATAGTGGGAGAATCGTTACAGCAGCTGGTCGAGAACCAAGTGTAGCCTTAACTCGACCACTTGAAGTGGAAATAGTAGGAGAATCGCTACACCGCTAGTCGAGAACCAGGTGTAGCCTTAACCACTTGAAGTGGAGGTGCGAGAGATAGCTATAGCCTACTGGTCCGAGAACCAGGAGTAGCCTCATCTCTCGACCGAGTGATGTTAAGGTACGATAGATCGCTACGGCCTACTGGTTCGAGAACCAGGAGTAGCCTCATCTCTCGACCGAGTGAAGTCGTGGTGCGAGGACCGCTACGCTATTGCCGTAGTCGTACCTCGACCATCTGAAGTCGTGGCACGAGAGATCGTTACGTCCTACTGATTCGAGAACCAGGAGTAGGAGTCTCTCGACCGATTGAAGTTGAGGTGCTAGAGATCGCTACGATTGACTGGTTGAGAACCAACGAGTAGGCGTCTCTCAATCACCTATAGGGGCGCTAAAGTTGGTTTATTACATGTGCATCTCATGTGGCCAGCATGACTCACATACCCAACTTATAGCATATCCGGATATCCATTCGCAATCATGTCGTGTGATCAAGCCGACAACGTTCACGAGGAATTATCCGTTAACAACCTTTTCTCGAATAGCCCAGCTATGGCCGGTGCTATGAGATAGGTCGTCGGTCTTCGTTGGTAGGTTGGGTGCGACAACTCCGCATTTATCGATAAAGTTCTCGATATTGTGTGTGTTTGACCACAACCTACTCGAGTGCTCAATTGTTCCTGAAAATTTTTCTAGAAGGCAAGATATATAGCAGATCATATCGAGTATGTACTTAGAAAATTGCATGAATCTTCTAGTATTTTCAGGACATAACGAGCAGATTAAATATCAGGCATTATGTAAACCGTAAACAAGCATGATTTATACGGAAGAAAATAGAGCGAGCCCCCAGCATTAAACCGTAGTTGGCCTAACATCAGAAGCACTCGCATAATTGATATTGTATAAAAAACATGCTCTAGGTAAACATAATAAATTATAGATCTGACAATGTTGTATGATCTGAATATGTACGATAAATTGCATATAAAATATTGCGTACTTTTATAGATACATGCCGGATGTATCTACGAAATTAGTAGATTAATTTAAAAAACCAATCCACCAATTACCTTACTGCGTACTCATTGTACATTATACGATCTGACGTCTTTTAGTACGCCGCGTATCTTGAGGCTTGGATGATCTCGATAGACCAAATTGTTGACAATGATGGTTCCGATCTTGTCGGGGCACGTACTCTGGTTGGGTTTGACTTCCCAGATCCAAAGTAGTTGAAGTATCCCTCGTCAAAAAATCCATAGTGACGACGACTTGGCGAAGCTTGACGAAGATCCCGATCCGCCGGAGAACGTACTTCGTTCGGGTCATATCACTCAACATACGAAGTCGTTGAGTAGTTTGCTATTGAAGAATCCATCTCTTGAACCCATCTCGTCAAAATCCTGAAGCACCAAAATCCCCCTACTTGGCGCGCCACTGTCGATGTTTGATGTCACGACTATGGTATTTGCATAGTATAGGGATCGTTGGCACCAGGGTATATGTGAGACTGAGGTAAAAGAGATGGGGACGAGGATTTTTATACAGGTTTGGGCCCCTGAATTGTCAGGTAATAACCCTACTCCTGTTGGCCAAAGCCGGTCGTTGCTCTTATTCATCATAATCACACCAGTACAATATTTGGGGTAGCCTATCTATCTGTTATCGACATGGCGGTCTGAAGTGCTGACACGTAATCGACAACAGGGTAGTCTTCCGCCTCGAATCCATATCCGGCGAGATCAAAGATAGTGCTAGATCCCTCCTGATGGTAGTCGTAGGTACCGTATGGGGACTACTAAGCTTATCTCCGATGTTGGTATCCGACGGTTGTCTTGACGTATATTGGCTTGTATGTTGATCTATTGTTGCGTGTCCCCTCTCCTCCTAGGGGGTCTTGTATTTATACCTATAGGTTATTGTTGCGTGTCCCCTCTCCTCCTAGGGGGTCTTGTATTTATACCTATAGGTGTCCCCTTGTCCAAGTAGAATTAGGGAAACTAATATGGATACAATCCGAATAGTGCTTATCGTTTCCATGTAGAATTCTATTCATACTTCCTTATGCGGAACTCCTATATCCGAAGGCTGTTTCTGTATAAAACATGGTATGTGGTGGGTCCTGCCGAGATTTAGGCAACTACTATTAGGTGTCTGGTATCCATAATCCTAAAAAGCCTTCAATTTGAGCCCCAGACGTATCGAGATCCTGGTTCCGCCACTGTTGCTTAAAAAACAATACTATACTACCTTTAAAAAATTACCAGCCGAACGATTGTATATTAATTTGATCCAACGGTAGCTGTACACGCTGGCGATGAACGTGATTCTGGATGGAGCAAACCAAGAAGCTAGACGAATGAAGCAGTAATGAACCAGTATATGCATCGTTAATTATTAGCATGTTCTAGTAAATCCCCAGTACTCTAACGAGGGATTTAGTATATACTGGATGCCACGAAATTAAATGCTACTAGAGAGGAATTTAGTATATACTGGATGCCACCAAATTGCATGCTACGAATTTTTTATCGTGACCGACGGAGTGCATGCACGCATGCAGGAATTTGAAAAACAAGGAACGGTATTTCCTTTAAATTTTCTTTTTAATCCAACTAGGAAGATGGCCCACACGCATGCACGGGCACTTATATTATTGAAAGATAAGATTTTTATTGTTTATTTAAAAATTTTGTTTTATAGATTAAGTGTTCGGATACTATTATTTTGTAATATTTTTTTAATAATTTAAGGGTTCTATTTTTCTTAAGGAATCTTAAAAAACCATTCACAAACTTTTGAGTAGAAAATAGATTAAGTACTTACGACTTTTGAATCATGTTTTTTTCTCGAGTAATTAATAAACTATTACTTGTAGTATGGCTACAAATAAAAAACACGAGAGCAAGATACTCAAAATTCTTGCGATTAAATCGTCTCATGAAGGCGCATGATATAGTAAGGAAAGGAGGGAAGCGTATACATGGAGAAAAAGAAGGTGGAGGGGAAGCGTAGGTACCCACGTACTTAGGTCCGTACCCAAGGTGGAGAGGTGGGACCTCGTAGTATTTAGTTTGTTCTAAGATCAATTACTTTGTTTTTTTCCTTAGAATTTCTAATATTTTCTCTAATTTATTAGTGCACCACATGGCAGCTTAAGGGTATTTTAAGAAATTTTAATGGACTTACCACATGTGATTAGAATATTAACCATGTAATATATATGTATGGGATATAAGTTAATATTCGTTCTAGCTTCATCCATGTTTATATACATGTAGAGAGAAATTAAATATGTTGCTAGCAAGCCATTAGAAGTCTAATTAGTAGCAATTAATTGACACCTATTTACATGTGTGTGTCTATATATATATCCTAAAACAACCATATAATTCATACATACTAATATATGAAAGAAAATATAACGATGGTAGCCCGCAAATTGCGGGCCACATATGTACACGGCGACCAACAGCAATACAGAAGCGACCACGTGATGCAGGAGTTATTATCTCACTGTTCTGTGAGATGTATTGTCAGGAGAGGCGGACATCATTTCCTGCGGCAACAAGTAATTGACAAGAAATTTATCAACTAAATTTGGAGTTAGTTGCAGGTAGCAATATTGATAAACAGCTAGACGCGAACAGTGATTACCTTTTCAATAGGAGCTAGGCATGGCACTCTGCTTCATCTTCATCTTCTTTCTCGCTCTGAAACTCTGTTTCTCTCCTCAGTGCCGCCTCATCTTCTGCCTGAACAACATCCTCTGGCGGATTGACTTGGTTGAATCTTGTTGCACTCTCTGCCTTCTCCTCACCAGCCTGATTAACTTCTATTTGGGTACCGTTGATGAAAAGGTCAATAGAGTTGTGATGCTTGGCGACCTCCTTGCTCACTACCTCTACTGTCCTCTTAACGTTGGGACTATTGATGTACCGTGCATTGTAGCAAATCTTTGCCTCCGAAAGCTTTTCAAGGTTGCTGATACCTGAAGGAACACTCATCTCGCTCGCTGGGAACGCGTACAGATTCAGTCGAAGATATGTGAGCTTCGGCATTGCCTCTTTTTCGAAGGTCAGCCATGGGACAGGGCAATCAAGGGAGAATCTCTCAATCTCTTTGAACCCTTTTGTCTCAATCACTATTGCTTCTTCGGGAATGAACTCCAAGCATAGTACCAGGTGCTGCAATTTGACCAAGCCTGCGAGGATCTTGACATCGTCTGCCACTTGTTTGCAAACCGTGATCTGCAAGAAAGTAAGATACACGAGCCTTTCGATCCATCGGGGAACACTGACAAATTTTCCGGCTATTACCTTAAATTTCTTAAGTCCTTCAGGTGGTTTTGTTAGAGAACCCAGAAACTCCATGGAACAACCGAGCCCACAATGAATGGTGAGGGACTTAAGCTTCCTCCATCTTTCTATGGATAACCGTAGGGCCTCTTGGTAGTCTTCGTCACTGCACTGGTGAAAGGACCATGTTATTGCGAGGACCTCCAATCTCTCCAGATCACCGAGAGACTGTATTGACTTTGCAGAGAATTCACTTAAATCGATAGTTGCTAGCGTCTTTAGATATCTTAATTGGTGGATCTTCTTCGATATCTTTGTTAGCACTTTTTGGTTTGAGTCAATCATTCCAAATACAGAACCATTACCGTAAAGTTGTTCGTACTTTCTTTTCTCCACAATTTTATCTGGCATGTGCTTTATTTGTGTGCCTCTTAGTTCCAGGATCTCCAAATATTCTAGCTCACACACTTCTGATGGGATCTTAAATATGTGGGTTTGGCTGACGTCCAATGCCTTCAGGTTGCACAGCTCCTTGATTTGCGGTGGGAGCTTGCTGACCCTTGTGTTCCTGACGCTCAAATAACTCAGCATAAACATTTTGCATATCTGCAGTAGGTCCTCATCCTTCAAATTCTCCCAGCCTTGAAGATCCAAAAACACCAAATATCCAAACTTGTCTAGAGGGACTGTTGTTCTGTCGACTGCACCAGATATGAGTAGTGAACGAGTATGAGACAAATCCATTTGTTGCAGCATTTCGGGGAGTAGCGGATCAGGGTGGTGGAGAGCTAGGCGCCGTTTTATCCGAGTGTTGTTGCCACCACAGCTTGGTAATGAGGTGAGTGTTGAGCTGGTAAAAACAAGACCCTTCTCGGCTGCTCTGGAGGCAAGAAAACTCAGAACGAAAGGATTGACCTGCCACTGGCACAATTCATCTTCATCAAGATTGGGTCCATAGTTCTCTCCTACTGGGGTAATGATGTTCGTGTTGACCAACTCAGAGAAATACAACTCTCCATATTCTGAACTAGACTCCAATATACGGATCAACCCATCGTTTTCCCATTTCATGACAAGATGATCCTTATCAAACACATATCCCTGTGGAAACATGCTTAGATAGAGTGACGATAGGCTCAATTCATAACTGTAATCAAATGATAGCCAGTATTCAAACTGTTTCAGCAGTAGGCGTACTTGTTCCACCCTAAGAACTGCAGAGCTGCCGTGTTGCTGTTGTTTCAACCAATCTGCCATACCAGTTATGAACAATGGTATTCCTCTACACTTGTTCAAGATTTCATCACATAATAGCCTAAGATTGTCTGGAAGTAAATCATCCATGGAACTAAAAGCTTTTGTGCGAAGTAGCTTCTCTGAATCCGAGTCATTCAGAGGCTTCATCTTATGCACAACCCCATTATAATTAGACAAAAACCACCCAGCTATCCACTCATGTTGTGCCGTAAACAATATTCTACTACCACAGTTATTATTAGGAAATGCACCCTTGATTATTTCCAAATCTGATTCGTCTAATATATCATCAATCAAAACAAAGTATCTGGAGGGAGAATACGAAGAGAAAATATTAAAAGAATCCGAGGTCTGATGCTGCACTGGTAGAGAAGTCCTAAATAAGTACTGTATACATATAGCAGCTGAATGCTGTTTACCTCTTATCCTTGAGGTGTTCTGATATGTTGCGAGTCAACAGCTCCGGGTTGTCCTCCAACATGGACATGGTGATTTCCGAGCTGTTTGGTGATGGTGCATCCAGTTGCTCCATGATCTGCTTCAGGATGGTTTGAAGAACAAGCTTGCTCCTGTAAGGCCTCCGGGGGAAGTTAGCGGCCACAACGTGGCACTGGAAATAATATTCTTGAGTTTGGCACCTGAGTCGACGGTGGAGCTCCATGGCAAGGGTGGTCTTGCCAATGCCGGCGGGTCCAGCAATGGCCATGACCCGGAGACCCTTGTCGGTGGCCATGAGCCATCTGAGCATCTCGTTTGCCATGCTGTCGATGCCAACAAGATGATCATTGAGGGCACCAGCCTCAACTTGGGCTGCTTGATGCGGCGATGGCATGAGCTCCGAGCTTGGGAGCTCGAGGCGTGGATCACTGGAGCACTCACGGTAGAGACTGTACGCTGTCCTCGGAATGTTATACTCTAAAGACCTTCGGCGGCGGAAGCACCGCATGGCTTTTCGCAGCAGCCCCGCATTAGGTGCTTCTTCTCCGTACTGATTATACAGAGATATCACGACATCCCTGTAGTAACTCCAGTGGTACTGGATCTGGTTATCGATGAGATCGACACCAGGACAATCTGTGTGTGGTGGCAGCGGCATCCTCAGGTATGCGACAATGACGCCCAGTTCCATCTCCATGAATGCCAAGCTGTGCCTTTCGCGGGCGTCGGTGATGCGTCCACCCTTCAGCAGCTTAGAGATACTCTCATGGAGGGGCTCCCACTCCTTCAACGCCTCCTCCTGCTTCTCCATGATGGAAGTTCTTCCCATCGCTCCCTTCGACATGATCCCCGCCGCACGCCTGCAAGACTGTACGGCTAGCTGGTAAGGACTCAAGAGCTAGGTAGCGCTGCAGAACAGAATTATTTCAAGAAACAACTATACTGGTTGTAGATGCATGCCGAATGCAAGCTAGGCGAGTATAAGTCTCTTTCACTAATGTTCGTGCGCAACTAAAGCAGGGAACACCTTATCTCTTCCCCACCCTTATCCACTCATCTCTGCGCCCACCGGAAACGTCGCTTTCTTTCCATTTCCTCTCCCAAGCTGGCTGCACTCCGCCTCCGCCTTAAGCTGCATCTTCTAGCTATCCTCTTCTTCACAATGCGTCGGCGAGCTATCTGTTCGCCTTACCCTTTTCTTTGTCGTCTCTAGCGTGACAAACGGAATGAAACCACTTGGTTTTCAGTTTTTCAATATACTAGAAAAGATGCACATGCGTATTGCTTTCTTTGTTTTCAATTTTTTAATATTGCTTTCGATCATTTGCATAAAGCTAGCATTTATAAACAGTAGTTGAAAACAGTAAAATAGTTGTAATAATTAGTTAATATTAACCATCCACTGTCCAACGCTACACCACATTGCAACAGGACCAACCAACCACCTGAACTAATCAATTCCATTAGACTAAGCTAGGGTGAGACTAATCACGGTGAATCTGGTTGACCGCCCATAACCGCGGGCATGGCTATTCGAATACTTTTCCTCTGATCAAAGGTGTTCAACTGTACCCACAAGACACAGCCCCACGACACGTTACCGTGCGCCGGCATGCCAACACGACATACCGGAAAGAGGCCGTGACAGGACCCTTCGCATAACCCGCTCTAACCAAACACACCACACCTCAGGTTTCACCCCCACTCCTCGCAAGGCAGCGGGCAGTCCCCTCTCGTGCCTAGGTGAATCTGAAAGCCGCATAGGCCGTCACAGGGCCCATCCGAACTTCATCACGCTCACCCTTGCCTGGATGCGTCAGCTAGAGGAAAGCTACACTACAAGCCCAACCGTTGCCCACACTGGCATGTAGTAAGTACGGTAAGTTCTTCCAGGGCATCCCGCGAACCGGTCCTTAATTGCCATGGGAGCGACCATCAAAACCATGCACCCACAGTCCACCATTTAGTATATTTTAGTTAACCAACACCAGAGCAATGGTTCTAGTCCAACACCAATACTAGAATCTGAAAACTATGCATTAATGTAGTTCCCCCATTGTGTGCTAGTTGAACTAAGCATGGCTAAGCAATCCCTAACCCAACATCTAATCATGTTATATCCCCAAGCTAACAAAGGAACAAGGTAACAAATAGTATGGCTGAGACAGAAGGTAATCATCCCATGATATCATTGTAAAACAATGTTGTATTTAAAGGAAAACAATAGAGCATTTGCAATATGGGATCAACATGTTCAAGTGACAAGCATGACTTGCCTTGCCCTGCGGCTGGAGGAAACTCAGCGACTATGTCAAAGTACACTGGAGCGTCGGGAGAGCCGGAATCTATGCGATATACAAAGCAAACAATACAAACAGGCTATAAGACTACTGAAACAGAGAATAAAACCATTTTTAATGGATTCTTTGTATTTTTCTTGATTTACTGAGACTTGAATGGGCTTAAACGGAGCACGGATGAATTTTCTATGAATTTTAGAAGATTCACTATGTTTTTACTATAAACAGAAAAATCCTTAATTGATTTATTGTGCAACAATTAAACCCTGGAGAGAGGGGGGCGGCGCCAACATGCGAGCCCCACATGTCATAGGCTCAAGGGCGCCAGTCCACGGTGGACTGAGTCCACGGGACCGGGGAGGAGGGATCCACCACGTGGCGCACACGTGGCGACCACGCGGGCGGCCGGATGGATGGCCCCAATCCACTCGGGGTGGATCGGACGGCGGAGGGGGCGGCACGCGGCCGGCACGCACGGGCCCAGCTCAAGCCGGCCCGGCGGCCATGGCGCGCGGTGGCGCGGCTCGACGCAGCGGCGGCGCAGTGGTAGCGGCGCGGGCGGCTGAGCGGCTAGGCGGCGGCTAAGCGGCGTGGGAGAGAGAGAGAGGAAGGGGAGGAGTTCCTCACCGGCGATGATCAATGACAGTGAGCGGCGGGATGATGGCGACGAGCGGTCGAGATTCGGGATCACCTAAGGAACACAATGGGAAAGATTAGAGAGGGAGAGAGAGAGATCATAGAGGGCGGGGACGCCAGCTGAAGGTGGCGGCCATGGCGAAGCTCACCGGCGTGCGGTGCGAACGGGGCTCCGGCGGCAGAAATCGGCGGCGGAGGAGCGGACAGCGTGGCCCTTGGGCTCGTGAACCCGACGGCGGCGATGGCGAGGCTCGGCGCGGCGGCTAGCGGCGACCGGAGCGGTGGCGGCGGCGACGGAGAGGAGGGCGATGGCGCTAGGGCGGAGGAGGGCACGGGGGAGCTCTGCGAAATGGGGAAAAATAGAGAGGGAGGGGCAGTGGTGCTTAAATAGGGGAAGAGGGGGCTCGGGGAAGCTAGGAGTGGCTCGATTTCACCGGAGTAGTGGGGAGGTGGAGAGAGGGAGTGGCCGGCGGGATTCAAAAATTGAATCTCGGCCGTTTCGGCGCGGGTGTGGGCTAGAGAGAGTGAGTGGGTGCGGGGAGGCGCGGGGAAGGCGGCGACGTGGGCGGCGTGGCCCGGGAGGCACGGGAGAGGCGGGAGCGGCGGTTGCGGGCGCGGGCCGCGCCGGCCGGAGGTTTGGGGACGGGCCCGGCAGGTGGGCCCACCTGTCGGTGACCCGAGGGGAGGAGGGGCTCGGGCGGCCGGCTGCTGGGCCTTAGCCTTCGGCCGGCCCAGCGGGGAGGCGGAGGGGGAAAGAGAATGGGCCGGCGACCCATTAGGGAAAACGAGGGAAAAAAGAAAAAGAAAAAGGGGAAATGAATTTTCAGGGATTAAATAATTGCTCGTGCTCATTTTTAATTGGTTATAATTATTTGTAGAGCTCTGAAAATTCCTCTAAAAATCCTGTTAGCATATTTTGACATGTAGAACTCAAGAAAAATCCCACATGCCATTTCCGATTATTATTTGCATTAATTCAATTAGGGTTTCTCTCTTACTTTTACATAGGTAATTTCTCGAGACCATTTATTAATTAATTTAGGCTTGGGAGAAGAACTTCAGGGTGTGACAACTAAGCTTATCTCCGATGTTGATATCCAGTCACTTGTCTTGGCGTATGTTGGCTTGTATGTTGATCTATTGTTTCATGTCCCCTCTCCTCCTAGAGGGTCTTGTATTTATACCTATAGGTGTACCCTAGTCCAAGTAGAACTAGGGAAACCAATATGAATACAATCCGAGTAGTCCTTGTCATTTCCATGTAGAACTCTATTCATCCTTCCTTATGCGGAACTCCTCCTATATCCGAAGGTTGTTTCCGTATAAGACATAGTATGTGGTGGGTCCTGCCGAGATTTAGTCAACTACTATTAGGTATGTGGTATCCATAATCCTGACAGTAGCCCTGACTTCAACGCAAATGAACGAGTTCATATTCCCAATTCGAAGACCTCGGAATAACTGTTATCGAGCTCACGTGACCATTATCGCTGAGTTCAGAGATAACGTTAGACTTCCCTTATCAGCCTCGTGCGGGCATCGTATAGGATTTGTCTGAGTCAATCTCTGACATCAACCAAGAAAGTACAGAGCATACGACTAAGTCTCCCGTCTTGCTGTAATCGAGAATTTGGATTGAAGTCTAGAAATTTTATCTCGGCGGGTACACCATTTCTTCATTCCGTATTCCTTGTCGATATCCATCAACCGTTCTCGAGTGATCGAGAAGGCGCAGAGTCTGCGATGGAGCCTTGTCAACATTTGTCGTGCTCGCCTTAGTCGATCTTGGTGTAGAACCATAGAGACATGGAGTCTTCGACAATGTCGAGTAGAATTTTCCTGAAATCAATACTCATAAAAGAATATTCGATAGAAATAGCCTCCGAGCGAACGCTCAAAGGGTGACATGTTATAATATGTATGGAAAACTGAAAATGAATTAAATTTAGAGACCAATGTTTTGTGTACGAGCGTCTTCTCTTTTACCGACTTCGATCAGTCAGTTTGTTGAGTCATACACTCTCCCTAGCCCCCAGCCTTGTCGTCGGAGAATCGTTCTCAGAGGATAAGGCTCTTGGACCCTTGACCTGCCTTGGTTGAAAAAGCGCTTACCCTAGCCCCTAGCCGTGAAGTTGAAAAACTCAATTTCCGATTACACGTCTTGGTTAATACGCACGGTGAGAACTCTTACATGACCAGATCTTACATGATCGTTCGTCTCTGCATTACCTGACAAGGCCTTATCCACTCTGGGCGTCCCCAGCCGAAGTTCCCTTAGGTTCCTCGGAGGCCTTGCCAGGGCGGCGTAAAGGGACAGTAGGATTGGTTTCAACTCTAGGTGTTGTCGTGGTAAGGGATCTCTGGGTAAAACACTTGGCGATGTTGTGTACCTGATATCAACTTTGCTGGAGTAGAGGTAGTGGGAGAATCGCTACACCGCTGGTCGAGGATCACGGGTAGTCATAACTCGACCACTTGAAGTGGATGTAGTGGGAGAATCGCTACACCGCTGGTTGAGAACCAGGTGGTAGTCGTAACTCGACCACTTAAAGTAGAAATAGTGGGAGAATCGCTACACCGCTGGTCGAGAACCAGGTGTAACCTTAACTCGACCAGTTGAAGTGGAAATAGTGGGAGAATCGCTACACCGCTGGTCGAGAACTAGGTGTAGCCTTAACTCGACCATTTGAAGTGGAGGTGCGAGAGATCGCTATAGCCTACTGGTCCGAAAACCAGGAGTAGCCTCATCTCTCGACCGAGTGATGTCGAGGTACGAGAGATCGCTACGGCCTACTGGTTCGAGAACCAGGAGTAGCCTCATCTCTCGACAGAGTGATGTCGAGGTACGACCATCTGAAGTCGTGGTGCGAGGACCGCTACGCTATTGCCGTAGTCGTACCTCGACCATCTGAAGTCGTGGCGCGAGAGATCGCTACTTACTACTGATTCGAGAACCAGGAGTAGGAGTCTCTCGACCGATTGAAGTTGAGGTGCGACAGATCGCTACGATTGACTGGTTGAGAACCAGCGAGTAGGCGTCTCTCAATCACCTATAGGGGCGCTAAAGTTGATTT